GGGGTAAGGGCAGAGGCAAGGGCAAGGGCAAGGCCACGGCGCCCCACCAGCCTTTTCAGAGGAAGGGGAAGTCAGCCCCGGCTTCCCAGCTATAATTCCTCCGGAGCCCTTGTTGGTACCAGACCAAGCAGTCGGAGTACTGCCGAAGTCAGGTATTCAATGTCTCATGCCACATATCCCTGTGGGTGGTCGACTTTTCCTCTTCCTGTCGGAATGGGAAAAGTCACGCCCAATCCCTGGGTCCTGTCCACACTCAGGGAAGGCCACATGCCACAGTGGAAGCGAGACCCACCCCCCTTCTCCGGGATCCGTTGCACTCCAGTGCCGGCTGCCCTAGAGAAGGCGGCAGTGCTCCGTGCCGAGGTCCAGTCGTTGCTGGACAAGGCAGCCATAGAGGTGGTTCCTGTGGGACAAGAAATGTTGGGTTTTACTCAACTTATTTCCTTGTCACCAAAAAAGAACGGAGGGTTCAGACCTATTCTAAACCTCAAAGGTCTGAACGACATGTTAGAGGTACCGTCCTTCAAGATGGAAACACTGCGTTCGGTGATTTCGTCTGTGGAGAAGGGAGATTGGCTCACGCCAATCGACCTAAAAAGACGCTGCACTTCCATGTCCCTATGCACCCGAGTTCAGGAAATACCTAAGGTTTTCCTTCGACGGGAGAGTGCTATCAGTTTCGGGTACTCCCTTCGCATCTCCACAGCCGGGTGTTCACCAAACTCATGCTAATTCCAGCTCAGGTAGCCAGGTCACAGGGCAGGTGCTGTCACCCGTACCTAGACGATTGGCTCCTTCGATGCGCTTGCCACTCACTTGAGTCGAGATTGCGACACTTTCTGTGATGAGTATTCTCACCAAGTTGGGCTGGATTATCAACCTCAAGAAATCAGAACTGGTTCCCACCCAGGATCTGGTGTTCTTGGGGCGAGATTCGAGACAGCGCTGCCGAGGGATAGTCTCCCCTGTCTCGACCGCATCACCAAAGTCCAGAGAGTTGTGTTACAATTTCTCGAGTTCCCCAGGGCCTCAGCTCGGACTTGGCTCCAGTTGCTAGGCAACATGGCGGCAACGGTGGACATAGTTTGGCGAGAGCGGTTGAGGATGCGACCCATTCAGCAGGCTCTAGCTCGAATGTGGGTCCACACCCAGGGTGACGAGTTGATTCTCCACACTCCAGGGTGGCTAATTCCTCCTTTACGGTGGTGGACACTGGCAGGGAATTTATCCAGGGGGCTCCCTTTGGACATCCCATCGCCAGATCTCTCAATTCAGATGGACGCTTCCCTCACAGGGTGGGAAGTGCTGGGCGCTTCTGTCGGTCTCAGGCCTGTGGTCACAGAGCGAAGCGCAACTGCACATCAATGTGCTAGAATTGAGAGCAGTCAGGTTGGTGTTCAAACGACTTCGAGCAGGTTCAAGGTCGTGTGGTCCGCCTCGAGATGGACAACCAGACGGCAATGACCTACATCCTGAAGCAGGCGGCACGGTTTCCCCGCCTCTTCTGCAGGAGGCATGGCAGTTTCTGCTCTGGTGCGACCAGTTCGACATACGGGTAATGCCTGTTTATCTCCGGGCGACAACGTTCGAGCAGATGCACTCTCGTCGTATCCTGGCCCCACACGCAGTGGATGCTCCATCGGGGATATTCGGGCTATCTCCCAGTTGTTCGGTCGTTTCCAGGTGGATCTGTTTGCATCTGGGGGACGAACCAGATTCGGTGTTTTGCTCTCGGATACCGGATCCGAGCCATCGCTTCAAGACGCTTTCCAGCTCGATTGGACGGACAGGGTTCTGTGGGCGTTCTCGCCACTACCCTGGATTCCCAAAGTCCTCTTGCAGCTTGCCACCCAACCAGCTCGACTTCTTGTGCTCCTTGCACCCTTTGGTCGGCTCAAAGCTGGTTTCCGGTACTACTCAGGTTTCTGGCTCAGCCTCCTGTACTATTACCCTTTCGACCGGACTTACTATCCCAGAACGGAGCGCCGCACCGAATCCCAGGATTCAGTGGGTGGCCTGGCCTCTGTCCGAATCGCCTTCCACGCAGAAGGAATTCCTGCACCAGTTGCAGACACAATTCTGGCTTTCAAGCGGAGGGATTCGACAGACGCTCAGTATGAGGATAGATGGGCCTGTTATGCGCCAGCTGGTGTGTCGGCAGAGGGATTCTTGATCCCTTTTCTTCAACTGTAATTGAAGTACTGGAGTTCTTGCAGTCTCGTTAGAAGCCGGTTTAGCAGCGCCTACCATCGGGGCTACTCCACGGCAATCTCTGCCTTCCATATCCCTGCCGACGGTGCTCTCTTGGGGCAGCACCCTCTACAGCGCTTTTAGCAGGCGTGGACAGAATCCGTCCGACTGTCCGGGCGGATTAGTCCCCGTGGGACTTGTCAATCGCTCTTGATTGGATGTCCGGTCCTCTCTTTCACGCGATCTGTCGTCTCTTTCACTCCAGCTGTTAAGTTGGAAGGCTGCCTTTCTTGTGGCGGTAACGCCTGGCAGGCGAGTAGGTGATATCCATGCGATGTCAGCGGATCCTGCTCTGACTGTCTTTCACAAAGACAGAGTCAGTATTCGGTTGCCAGACTCCTACCGTCCCTAAGGTCGCAGCCTTTCATATAACGGGCCTATCGAACTGCCAGCTTTCACTCAGCCTCCATCGTCCGGTACCTATCTTCGGTGCTTCGCGCCTTAGATGTCCGTAAGACTCTCAAGGCTTATATCAAACTTAACGGCGGCTATCAGGAAAGATAAGCAGCTGTTCTGTTGTTATGGCGGTGGCAAGGCTGGTCTTCCGGCCAACAAGCAGACCATTTCTAGGTGGCTTGTCTCTGCCATTTGTTGAAAGTTACTCTTACAAAGGATTAACCATCCCTCAGGGTTTAAAGGCTCATTCGGTTAGGGCAGTGGCGACATCAAAAGCATACCGCAGCACTGCCCATTGAGGAGATCTGCTCAGCGGCTATCTGGAGCCAACCGAAAATGCGCTCATCCGCCACTATCAGCTGGACAAACATTCACGGAGGCGCGTTCGGTTTGGCCAGACAGTTCTCACCAGTGGACAGTGTCAGTGATTCTCTAACCGAATGAGCCTTAGAAATCCGCTTGCTTTTCTCATGGTGTAGGTGTTAATAAATTCCTCAATTTTTATCGGTGGTGGTATCACTTTGGTGGTGGTTTTACCGCATGTAGCGCATTATCATTTCGCTACAGTCACTGTGTTCATCCCTGCACCACGCCGCAGGTTTGGGTTGCTGAGGGATATATATTGGACTCGCCCATACTTTCCTCCCATTTTGATGGTTGGGGGTGGGACTTTCGTCAGTCTTTCTAAATTCCACCAATAGCCTATCGGCTAGGCTCCTTTCCCCGGCCTTGCGCCCCGCCTGATTGACATCAGCGGTCAGGTGACTAGGTGAGTGTATTTTCTCTCTCTGTCGCTGCCTCGGGCTGTGCCTCCGACTGAACTAGGGGTATGTTAGGCAGACAGAATACCGCTCCGACTCAACATCGCTGGGAGTCTGTCTTATGTTTATATGTACCCCAAAGAGGACTTCTTCTGAAAAAGAATTTTACAAACCTGGAGAGGTTATGAATTCTTTGAAGAAAGTCCTCCTTGGGGGTATCGCCACACGCCACCTCCCTCATTCTGTCTGACACGCTCAGCATGAAAAGTGAGGTACGAGGTACACAGCCAGAGTTACCTGCTCTTGGCTGTAGGGGCCCCTCACGGGCCCTGTAAGTGGTCTCACCACATAACGAAGTTTTTGTTTGGTAAAATATTTTATTGAAATATTGTTACAACTGTCGTAGGCTTTTAAAATGGACATTTTAATGCTTATATGTACCCCAAGGAGGACTTTTCTTCAAAGAATTCATAACCTCTCCAGGTTTGTAAAAATTTCGACGACCTGCGCTGTTTTGGGAAAGACTTCAATCCAGAAATATATGCTCGGTACCGTTTCAACATGAATTAAAATTATAAACTATTTTTCGCAATGTTATTGAAAACACCCATTCTCGGACACATGCTTCGCCGGCGGGGTCCACAATAACATTGTCAAAGAGCAAAGTAACGATGTTTCGAGGAATTCATTAAATAAATTGAATAAACTAATGAATAAAATCAACAAAATATATACATGAAGCATTTTGTCACAGGTCATAACCCAGCACGATACGTCCAATAAGTTCCATGATTCACATTATAGGTAGCGATCTTTGCTTCATATGTTCAAAATAGCATTATTTTACCCAAAACTTTCGTCTAAATCTAAAAGTTTTAAGATTTACGAGGACGGGTATCCATTGCCGTAATATGACTGGCTGCCTTAGGTCAACGGTCTGATTTTGACCAATCACGACCCTTATAGCAGACTGTAGCTTAAAAGCGTCATTAGAAACCAATTGTTATCCAATAAAATCGCTTCTTACAACTGAAAATACTCTAGGCAAGGGTTCAGTGATGTTGTTGATGTTCATAGCTTTCGAGCGATACCCGACATCAAACGATTAAGCCTCCCATGTTATTCATAATGACGCTCGAAACGGAGGTATTTTTGTTGTTATGTCATGTTACCGGAGCCGAAAGCCACAGATATCGGGAAATAGGCAACCATACATATTATTTAAGAAATCTTTTTATAATAATTTTCTGATGGCGTAAAATGAAAATATAAAAGAAAAGGCACAGACATGTTATGACATGTCACAAATGGAAAAAAAATCGCCATAGTTTTGCTTCTTTTCAGTGGTTTATCTGGGACGTTATAATTTCCTTCATAAACATAGGCTTCATCTATGACCTCAGAGTCTCGATAGTAAGGAAAAATATCAAGGGGAAGTAACTCGGTTCATTTACTGTGGTTTCAGCAGTACGAACGTTTCACTATCCGAACGTTTTCTTTAAAAAACCAAAGTGTTCGTATTAACGAGGTCTGACTGTATATTGTTTTGCATTAAACTTATTGGTTAACCATCGTCATGTGTGTGCTTTGCAGGTATTCTCTAGATGAGTTCGGTACTGCCAGACGAAGTGCTGTTGTCAGAGGCTTCATTGATGCTCTTACCAGGGGAGGTAGGTCACAACAATAACCCCATCTCTACCACTATAAAATATATTAGGTGCACAGTGTGAACCAAATCACTTATACTAACACCACTATTACCTCCCTTTGTGACGTTTCTGTCAGGTTTGATGCAAATATTATCATACTCTCTTTTGCAAAATTAATATTCTTCTTTATGCAAGTATGTTTTGGTATTTCAAAATATTGTTTGAATATGCACCTGTTGAAAAAATAGACTGGTAGTGTCTCATGTTCATTTTCAAGAGGAATGTTGAAGATCAATGTTTTTAGCTGTTACAGATAGTGTGAGAAAATTTCTTGTGCAAAGTTTGAAGTTTTCTTTTAAACTTATCTTTAATTTTATCTCTCTGCTTGCACCTCTCTCTCTTCCTTCGATACTGAGTGGAACGACTGTAAACATTTTCCCTTGGCCTCTCTTGTTTTACTGCGCCCATGTATCTCGTGTGCGGCTCGTTAATGGACAACTTACCACAATCCATGCAAGGCATGCGACACACTCCTCAGCTACCCACATGACTACTGCTCACTCATCATTCTCTTTCTCGTCGTGTCCCTGGTTGGACGTACTTGTAAATGTTGAATACTTCAAAGTTCCTTCCTGATTTTTTCCACTATGGGGGGAATCGCCAAGATAATCGTAAAGCGCAACTTTTAGCTCAATGTAGAAGACGTTTTGAGATTTGATCCGCACAGTTCGTGCGTGGACTGTGTAGGGTTATGCGAGGCTGATAATCAATGCAAAATATGTTCCCGACTGTCAGATGAAGATTTTAAACCATACCAACGGGTATGTTCACGTCGTTTAGCCGACCGGGCAGGGAATGCTTCCTGTGAATGAAGCCCATCGTCTGCAAAGAAAATTCGCATTCAGCGACCAACTTAACCCCGAAGCGGTTACTATCGCCTCCCTCGGGAGTGGAGGATTTCTTGGCCATTTTCGAGATTGGATCCACACAGTTCGTGTGTGGACTGTGTAGGGTTATGCGAAGCTGATAATCGATGCAAAATATGTTCCCGGCTGTCAGATGAAGATTTTAAAGCATACCAACGGGTATGTTCACGTCGTTTAGCCGACCGGGCAAGGAATGCTTCCTGTGAATGTAGCCCATCGTCTGCAAAGAAAATTCGCATTCAGCGACCAACTTTAACCCCGAGGCGGTTACTATCGCCTCCCTCGGGAGTGGAAGATTTCTTGGCCATTTCGTCTGACTCATACTTATCTGAAGACTTGAAGAAGTTGCTTGGCTCACATTCGGCTCCTCCGGAGTCTGTGTCCTCTAGAGTGGTGGTGATTGATCGACCAAATCTGCCTGAAACTATTACCAACCCTACGGATCTTTGGATGACACTTTCTGCGTCACTCATTTCGCCCTACTGTATCGTTACCCGTGCCGGGGAGGAATGGACAGCCGTGGTAGAGCAGCCGTTCCCCCTCTGTGAGGAGATTGAAGTCGGTTGTTATCCCAGCCATGCAGAGTACTTCTCGTCGTTCTGGGACTCCAAAGCGTTCGTCGCACAGTTTATCACTTCCAAGTTCATCTGACCATGCGAAACGGCCTCACCCCAAGCATTCTCATAAGCCTCGGAAGAATGGGAAGAAGAAAGCGTCCCCATGTCAGCTCGTCGATCGAATTGACCAAGTCATGCTTCACCCGAGCGGTTCACTGTCTCATCACCGAAGTGGTTCGGCTGTGAACTGGTTCACTGCAGTATGATCACCGTTATGGACTCACCTCAGGTTGCTGTCTCTCCCGCGTTTGAGTCCTGTCAAAAGAACTAATTCACGGCAGTGATCTGGTTCACCTCAACCTTCCAGTGCCAGTTCGATGGGGCCGAGCGGGTTCACGAATCCTCGCCGAACTATTTCGTCTGCCGATCTAGATCACAGCATCAACAACGAACTAGTTCATCTTGCCGAACTGATTCAACTTCATAAGCGCCCGATCCAGTTCTCTGAACCAATCTGTTTTCACCTAGGTCTATCGAACCAAATTCGCCCGAACTGGTTCAGCTAGCCCGATCTGGTTCACTTTTTCGTACTGGTTCAGCTGGGTGGCTCTGTCAAGCCGAACTGGTTCATCAGATCAAAGCGAGTTCACATCAGCGTCATCGAACTGTTTCATCCAGGAGGGATTCACCCAAAGCGCCATCATGCAAAGTGTCCCCATCGATGCGGCAGTACCTCGTTCTGATTCCCTGGTTATCATCATCGTTCCAGTTCATCTGGCAGAAGCACTTCACCACATCCGAGTGGTTCAAGTTTCGCGAACTCAGAGGCCCAGATAAGCTCGCATTATCCGGGTAAAATCGCATAAGTGCGCGATTGAAAAATAATTGTTGCGTACCAATTCACGCATTTAAAATGTTAGATCCACAAAAGTTTAAAACAAATGCGTCGGAATATATTCATAAAAATCGGCTTGCGTAATGAAAAGACATCGATTGCTATCAAGTTGTACTGTTAGTATAGGACAAGTGTTGTAATGTCAGTATAGGATGAGTGATTTTTAATTAAATAATTTCCATTATATTTAAGTTGGTTTTGATTAGGTATGACATAAGGCAGAACATACCTGCTTAGTAAACTTACTCAATGACGTAATACTTAGGTGAGTAAAGTGACTGAAATACGCACATATTTGAAAGCAGTGGGTAACGGAAAATGACATACCCACTCAACATTCATAATACCCACTCCAAAAAAATACAGTGGGTACAGTACCCACATGAGCTAATTCTTATCTGGAGCTCTGCGAACTGTTGTATCTCAGAATACGTCTTCAGTTCACACTGATTCTCATTACCGAACTAGTTCTTTTGATGCCCCTAGGACTCGGATCCCTAAGGGAATCCTACATCAAACTGGATCGTCTGGACGAACTGCTTCTTATCCACCCACTACTTCGCCGAACCCGCTCAGAGCATTATGGGACCCGGCCGCCTCACCATGATGTTTATCATTCGCCTCATACAGTGGGTACCAGGGTGCGTACTGACTCTAGCAGGTTGATTGGGTCTCGGCCCTCAGTTCGTCTTCACTCACCACCTGCGTCTCCCACGAGACGTTGTTACAGTTCGTTAGATAGACGTTCCCCCCCTCACCGTTCGACTGTTTCTGATTCATCGGCAAATCTTCTCCAATGGGCAATGAGGTTCTTCTCACCTCATAGACACTCTCAACATCGTCACCCGAGCAAGACACATTCCAGGAGCAAAAAATGTGATCGCCGATGCCCTGTCCCTCTCAAACCGCCGTCACTGAGCAAGTGGAAATTACATGCCCAGGTCTTTCAGACAAAAGATCTACCCACTATCCACGGCCCCTAGTAGCCTGTTAAGCCGCAGCGATTCAACAAGAGGCTCCCAAGGTTTGTGTCTCCAATTCCGGACCCCCTTGCATTGGATATAGGCGGCTCTAGCAATCTCTTGGGAGGGTCTAAGCGTGTATCGTTCCCCCTCCAGCTCAGCTTCCCAACATAGTGTAGAAGTTGGGCATCACCAGAAAGATTCATCTGATTTTTGGTGGCACCTTATTGGCCAGCGAGAATTTGGTTCAGTGACCTCAGAAGTCTGGCAGAACTAAATCCGGTTCCACTTCACATGCTGAAAGCGACCTACTGCTTCATCCATCCACACTCGGGGGCTTCTTCCGCGGGTCCCCAGACCCTATCTCTTCATGTCTGGCACATCTACAGAAGTCTCTCATAGCCAAGGGTTACTCTCGTCGAGTTGCTACAGCTATTACTGCTGCTCATCGGACGTCCACTCGTCATTGTATGATGAAAAGTGGTAGAAATTTGAAGACTATTGCAGGACTAGAGGGATAAAGAGTCTTTGAAGGGCATTTAGAAGTGTTCTGTTTTAGCTACCACCACAGGTACCAAGGTATCCACGGTGCCAGAGTTACAGTACTTGCTCCGTTCTTACAAAGCTTGCAGACCAGTCTAGAAGTTTTAGACCTCTGGCTTGGGATCTGTAAATAGTCGCCGTCACCTAGTCTCTGGAGACTATGAGCCTTTAGAGGACAAGGACTTGAGCATATTACTTTCAAGACTTTCTTCCTGGTAGCGACAGCTACCGCAGCTCGCTATATCCGGGCTTCGTAAACGGCGTCAGCGGAATACAGTTTGAGAGGAAGAAATACGGCAAAGGTCTTCTTGGGTCTCCGCTGAGATTTCATTCGCGAAGAACCAATTAATATAAATAAGATGTTCACTATTCCACCGCTGTCCACCATACTTGGGCCTCATAACACTGACGATCTAACACTGTGTCCAGTTAGGGCACTACACATTTTCCTCACCGCATCTCAGTATCGGCGACGTTTGCGGAAAAGCCTCTTTATACCGCTATCGACCACCTCTAAGGCAGGGGTGTCTCAAACTTCTTTGTCGCTTTGGATGAGATCTACTATTCTTCGAGCATACACCTTTGCAGGCTTGCCCCCTCCTACCTCATCCAACCCGCACGAGACTCGTGCGCTAGCATCGACTATGGCATTACACAACAATTGCTCCCTGTCTTCGATCACGGAGGGTTGTTTTTGGCGTTCAGACAGTGTCTTCTCATCTCACTACCTACGGGATGTTTCAGTGACCGACGTCCGGGGGTTGCACCAGTTCGGACCACTTTCGTTTTGGCACAACAGCTTTCGCTCCGGCTCATCAGCGCTGATAAAGGAAGTCCGTGATGATGGCTGTTTCCCTGTAATTACTGAATAAAAGATCAACTTATGTTTCTCTTTTGTTCTCTTTGGTATGGGTTTAAGAACTACCTCACTTGGTTGGATACTAAGGCATTAAGATACCGCCACCAATTTATTTAGTGGTTGATTTACTTGTGTCGCGATGCAGAGGTGTTCAACATTCTAAACTACTGACCTCTACTCTACAGAGCAATTCGTCATTGAAGTGGGTCCTTCACGAACCTGTGGAATTTGTTGTGTTCTGACTCCTAAGTTGCCAGACTCATCCTTTGACTAAGTTAATGTAAAGGAGCGAGGGTCAATTTGATGTTGTTTGGAACTGAACGTTAAAACTTGGAGTTTTCCGATTCAATTTGCTTGTCACCCTCTAATCGATGGTGGCTGATGGGTTGTCTCGAAGCAGGGGCTGTTCCGATTACTGGTTGCAAAACTGTAATTCCGGAGGTACCTTGAAAATCATGGTGGCCGAGGTCTACTTGCTGAGCTCGTCTCTTCAATTCACAGATTAGCGTCGAACACCACATTGCTCGGGAGCACCCATCTCCCCTGGGTCGTTGTGCTTAGTAAGCCAAGGGGTCAGGAGACCCATCACAAGCATAGGAGTTGTGTGCATCGCGTAACAGAAGCGTCCTTGTGCATCGCTATCTACGGTTGTCTTCAGGGTATACAACTCTTGTTGTTCTTTTCTGTACACACTTAAGGTAATCTGCGACCCGCCGTCCAACCGTGGGATAAGTGCAAGCCGTGAGATAAGATAAGTTTAAAAATTTGGCAATTTGAACTATAAATTGTATATTTATATACTTATCTTATCTCCGGCGTGATAGTCCGCCAACCTCCCTCTACTCAGATTACGGTGACGGCTCCGAGAATGAGAATGATGAGTGAGCAGTAGTCATGTGGGTAGCTGAGGAGCGTGTCGCATGCCTCGCATGGATTGTGGTAAGTTGTCCATTAACGAGAGTGGCACGAGATACATGGGCGAGTGAACAAGAGAGGCCAAGGGGAAAAGTTTACAGTCGTTCCACTCAGTGTCGAAGGAAGAGAGAGAGGTGCAAGCCGTGAGATAAGATAAGTATAAATATACAATTTATAGTTAAAATTTCCAATATCAAGGTATTGGCCATTTTAGTAAATACTTGCATGTCGGTTGTTTTGTATTGGATTACAGGACCTGGTGGTACACCCAGACCTATTGAGTTACATTCCCATGATCCTCTCGTTGCTTAGGCTTACATGTTGGCATGGCTTCACCAGGCCGTGGCTTCGAGAAGGAACACCTCCAAACACTGCTGAAAGATTGTGAAAGTAGGTCATACTATTAATGAAAGTGAATCAATACATGAATTAAAAACTGAATAAATGTACAATAAGAAAGTAAGATTCTTTAAGGATAACAACTTCTTTATTATATATGATGCGACTTTTCGGTATGGATTCTTATACCGTTGTCAAGCAAGAGTGAAGTACTACAGCACAGAACAGAATAATGTACATGTAAAAATAATAAATGTTCATTTGGACATGCATCAAGACAACTGTATTAGATCCTAATGTTTGATGGCTACTCCTGAACAGAAAGACCTTGTACTGAGATCATTACCCTTGAAATGTCTTCAACATGCATGTGGACTTCCCTGCTACAGGAAGTGCTGCTTCATTACTGAACTGAAATACTATTCAAATCATCATCAATCCTTGCCCATACCCACATGAAGCTGATCAGGTGTGATCACTGTTGTTTGTGTTAGTATCACCATGGTGTGTGTTTCAGCCCCCAGCACTCTAATAGAAGACATCCTGGGCCATGTGTCGGAGGGCATCTGCAGACCATTCAAGGTGCGTGTCCCAGGGGAGATAACTGATATTTCTGTATCCTAGGAACCATTATTACAACTCACTTCCTGAGACATCTTGGGGTTGACTGCCATCCAGGGAAGTACTATGTCTTATCTTGACTTGTGTTGGTCAGAAATATGATTGAGATGCTGTCAAAGTAGGTTATGCCAGTGATAATAGTGTTCACTTGTCACTCCGTTTGCCTGTGTTTGATTTCTCACATGAGTATGTTGTGTAATGCCTGGTGTTCCCCGTCTGTGGTAGTGATCGAATATTGCCCACAGTGGCGTTAAACCCAATTTACTCTGCCTCAGAGTCATCGAGCCTGTCTTTGGATCACCCCAACTGTGTTAGAGTTTGTCTAGAAGGATCATGACAACAATCCTACTGGACTGGTAGGCTTGTGTATACCATCATTATCTGATGTATATCTGACAGGAAGTTCTGGTTTCCAGGTGCGTGTGGAGCAGGTGTTGCTTTCAGAACAGGATGCCGTCACCCTGTACAAGCTTGATAACCTTCTCAAGTTCTACCATTACACCATAGGGTAGGCAGTATTGATTATTTCTGGCACTGCAACGTTCTCCACTTCACATGCTTGTCATTAGCGGTTGCTTTGTGTGACAAAGGCCGTCTTTTTCCTTATCCTGACTCATGCTTATTGCTTGTCTTCTTCTTGCGAACCTAGTGGAACACGTGTATCTCCCAATTGAAGTTCCCTTCAATAAAGAAATCACTAATTAGTACTCACCACGAGTTACCTCCCCTGCCCAAGCGCGGGAACGAGGGCGCCACCTCAACCCATGTGCCTCACTCTCTCCTTCTTCGCCCAGCGAGCTGGTCGTGAGAGCACCTGTGTCTCCCGACACACTATATCCTTTATTTATATTTAAGTTAGTACCTCTTATATTCATTTATAGAGGTGTTACTAGTATCTTTATTCAGCTTGCATTGATTATTAGTCGTGTTTCTGCTGTTTTATTCACGGTTCGCCGTGTTTGTTCAGCAGTTTACGTTAATGAGAATCAGGTTGTAAACTACGTTATTCAGCTACCGATCCACATTTAAAATGCCCTAGTTGCATTACTCCATGTTCTATTGTTTCTAGTTGTAAATTATGTATTAATTTACCAATTTCTGCCTTTGATAAATATCTATGTTCCGTTTTGAGACGGAAGGCAGATAAATCTCGCAAACAATCTTCAGTCATGGCTAATAGATCGGAAGCTAATATACCCTGTCAACTGTTGACTGATCGATTCTACGCCACCGGCTGGTGGCATGCCTGAGTTTCCCTCAGGGGATAAGCGTGGGACGCAGTCCGCTATGTCCAAGAAGCGACCTGCATCTCAAGATCTGCCGCCTTCTCAGTCTAAGACTAGCAAGCGTCCATATCATCTCTCGCACGCCAGACACCCAGGTCTACAACTTCGCCAAAGGGAAATCTACAAAATCTAATAATTTTGCCTCTGATATTTTACCAGTCACAGAATTAGCCTTATATGATGATGACATTCCGATTATTATTCCAGATGTTCGTCACAAGAAATGTCCTGTATCTGCGACTGTCACCTCAGCGCAGATTAGCACACAACCGGAGATGCCAACGCTGTCACCAGAAATTTTGACTGAGGGTCCCGTCACCTTCACGCAGAGAGACAATCCTCATCATCAGCGAGACCGCGCCAGGACGACCTGGTCAACCAAATCATGAGGCTGATGGAAGACCGTTACGGTTTACAGAGGCCCCAGAGCCATGGGCCCCAGAGCCCAACCCATATTAAGTCATATAGGGCCCCAGAGCCGCCTTTGCAGCTTCAGCGGGGCCCCAGAGCCCACAGACGCAGCCTCTGGAAGGGCATCCCAGCCCGAGCGAGCTCTTGCATAGGAAGTCTCAGGCCACCTCCGCGAAGGAGCTAGAGCCTCACCTATTGCGCGTAGAGGCTTTCGCTGAGAAGGAGCGGCGGCCGAGCACGCACCTTGTAATTCACAGAGGTCGCTAAGCGAAGCAAAGCGCCATATGTCGATTCGGACACTGACTCGAGACATTAGCGAAGGACACGACAGCTAAGTGGTTCCATTTCTACCTGCGCCTAGAAGAGCCGCGAAGGCCCCAGCGCTCGCAGCGGCCCCAGTGTTCGAGAATCCCACAGTGTTCGAGAAGCCCACAGCGCTTATGGCCCCCTCACCGTATCGAAGCCCCAGCCTTCGCGAAGGATGTCTTCTCGAAGGTCTCCGTACACTAGCCACTCGTCAGTCCGTTCTCCACAGTCCTCTCATAGATCTTCCTATAGATCTAGGACTCCGACATATGACCATACGTCAGAAGAGGAGGATGGTATCATTTTCTCAGATGCTGAGATAAGATATATCCCCGGCGTTCGCCGAGGAAGTCTCCTCCAAGGTCTCCATATACTAGCCACTCGTCATATATAGCCTCTCGTCAGTCCGTTCAAGACATCGCATGAGTTGTCTATCAACTGTATACCATATCCTGTCTACAAGCCTACGCGAAGACAATTGCACAGGCTATTTACAACACAGAACGTCGCTGTATTAATTTATCAACAGATGAAGAGCCTAATTAAGGATCTTCAAGCCGACTACCTACATCAAGGGCATCAACGACGTTTCGTAGATCTTCACAGGAATCAACATTTTCGTATAGATTGCTAGGTATGCAATCCCGGACTACGATACGATTATCTACATGCGTGACCATTACGCAGATCTACAGACAATTCAATAACGAAATTGTACAGCAGCCTTGTTACAGCGAGTAAAACTCATAATCGTCAACAATTTCCTGAGAAGAAATATGTACAACAAGTTCAGCTTTAACAGTCTACAAGCTGACAACTTGCAATTCTTTTTCACAGAGATCGTCCTTGGGGTACATATTATGCATTTTCCGGCTGAAAAATGTCCTGTGACAGTTGTATCAATGTTTTTTGAATAAAAAGATTGAACAATAAATAAACTCTTTTATTTATTATACGGCCCCTACCTCACGGAGTTACCTCCCTTAGCGCATGCGCTCCAACTGGATAGGCTCCTAGACCCGTATCATCATTCCTTCTGCTGTCACTGCCGTGAACAGACGTGTTTATAATAGAACGCACTTCATGAGCCGGACAGCGCTGAAAGCTACTAAGAAAGCTATGTCTGAGACACCACCTGTATGTATGGTCTTTATTTGCCTAAAACAAGGAACAGTAAAGCTTTACAGTTGGTTGTTTCATAATTGTGACTTTGTATTAATACAAATTACTGTGAACTTTCCGTGGTTTCACGACGTGTTGCTCTGCCATGCGGGAAGTTTAGCGTGCCATGTGGTCGTAATATTGCGTATATTAAAACCAACTATTACTTTCCGTGGTAACCTTCACGATTTTTCAATGTTTTCACGTGTTTATATGCTGCTGGCGCTGTTAGCTACATGCTTGCGTGTTTGCTTTCAGGCCTTTTCATCCTGTTCGGTCTGTGGTCAGAGAGAAATTACACGGGCGACAGGCATGAGCTATCGTTGCCTGTCTTGAGAAGACGGGCCACGCGGCTGAGTCCTGCCCTATTTGTCTGGCCTTTTCCCCCGGGCCCAGAAGAGGCGGGCGCGATCACGTTGTTTTATCGTGAGATGCGCGAGGCGGAGGGACCTGGACGCAGGTCCCCGTCTAAAACAAAAGCGTCACGTCAAAAAGGGAAAAATCCCGAGGCCCTCTCCTACCACTCCCAGTGGTTTTGACATGTCGGTAATGGACTCTATGTTTCAGCAGCATATGGACTCCGTGAAGTCCTTCGTTCTGGGAGTCGGGTTGGAGGTCTCCGGCAGGGAGTTCTCGCCCACTCCGGACGGGAGAGAGTCCGGGTGGGATCGCCGGGCTCGCTCGATCCCTCAGCCTTGAAGGCGTCTGTAGATCCGTTGCCTCTGGCCGGGATCCGGCCTCGGGCTGCCGAGGAGAGGAGGTGCTCCCAGTCCCCTCTCTCGGAGTTAAGCGCAGGGACCGTTGAGTATTCCTGGTATTCGGTCCTTGCGCACCCCCGCCCCTTGAGAGCGGAGGCACCAGTTCTGCCTGGCCTGCCTCCAGCGTCTCGGGACCGGGGTCCACGCACGCCGGCTGGCGCTGACGTGGAGCCGTCTGTCTGTTCTTCCCTTCCTGTGGTTCCTAGCGCTAGGCAGTCCACCGGGTCGGGGTTCGGGTCCTCTTACGGAGGAGACCCAGCCTCTGACTCGGGCTCGGGTGCCGAGGCAATGGAGCTTGGGGAGGTTGAGGAGCAGGACGGAGGCTTCCGTTTTGTTCGGCCTTGCGGGAGGTCCGGCAGAGAATTGCCAAGGGCCTACCCCAGGCCGCGGTGCCTGCTGGTTGCGTGGACTCGACTGAGTTCCGCTTGCCAGGCGAGGCGTTTGCCCCTAGGCAACCCTCGCAGACGCAGCTCCGCATTCTGCCTTCGTTGGTCTCGGACGTGGTCGATCCCTCTTGTCTGGTGCCCGATGCGGTTTGACTTACCGGATCTCGCGGCGGCGGCTACCAGCTTGGGGAGGATTCCTGTTCGTTGTGCCAATTGGTAGAGCGAATGTTTCACTTCCGTCGCCCTGGGGAGGCTCGGCTTCCTCGGAGCAGCTCGGCTGCTCGGCAAAAGCGCCTGACTCCACCTTTGCCCTCGCGGTGCCCCTCGCGACAGCGTACCGGACCTACGAGGAGGTCTACCGGAACAGCGATGCAGCAGGTGCGGATGGTGGTCCATGAGGCCTACCTCTCCTCGGTTCAGAGGTCGGCCCTGAGGCGGAGGGCATGCTGGCGGCGATGTCGCCGCATGTCGTGCTGCTCCGTCAGCTTTCGGAAGTGCAGGCTCACCTGCGGCGACTCTTTGCGGTCTGCTGCGTCGAATGCGGTGATGTGTCGCGCAGTCATGGGGATCGCAGGCTGTGGCTGTCGGCGTCTAGGTACCGGCAGCAACACAGCAGAACCTTGCTGGCCCTCCCTTTCCGTCTGGGGCGACCCTCTTTCCAGGGGCCCAGCAGGTCATCACGAGGCTGCCGCTGCAGCTACCTCCTTCAAGGACTCTAAGGCCTTGTTGGAGCACCAGCGGGTGTCTCGCCCGGCGGCTCCGTGCCACCTTCCTCCGCCGGGTGCAGCCTACACCCGAGGTCTGCCGGCTGGCCGCCGCTTGGTAGGTAGTAGGGTGGAGGAACAGGTCCGCCAAGGGTAGGGGGCAAGGAGCAGTCCTCGACTAGCTCCCAGCCTTTCGCTTGGTGGCGGAGGTCTGCCCGACCTCCGTTAACCCATCAGGCTGCCGCTCAAGCCGTGTGTCACGCCCAGTCAGCTCCGCTACCGGGTCTACACCGCAGCTCCTACCCCATATCCCAGTGGGAGGCCGCCTCTCTATTCCTGCCGGAATGGGAGAAGGCTACCAACAACGCTTGGGTGCTGGCCACGGTCAGCATAGGCCATCTCCCACTGTGGAGGCGAGGTCCGCCCGACTTCACGGCGGCATCGTCGCACTCGGTGCCGTCATGTCAAGCCAAGGCGGACATATTGTAATGCGAAG